CCAGCACCAGCACCAGCACCAGAAAACGCCCAGGCAGTCCTGCGCCGACCGCTGAGTGTCAGTGGCCAGCCTTCTTTCATCGGCACGGTTGCCCTCACGGGCGTCCCCTTTCCAAGCGTGAGGTGCCTGAAGACTGGCCTTGCCCCGATCATCTGAGCCCCACCGCTTTGGATGCACCAACAGCTGGCGTCCCTTCACACAGCATGCCCGAAGTGTGAAGTGTTGAAATATTTTGCAGGAGACTCTGTTGTGCTGCTACTACTACTGCTGCTGCTACTATCGCTGCTACTATTGTTACTACTAATGTGGCATGACTACTAGTACTATTCGTAATTAGTAATTCGTATGAGCCTGTTGCGTCACGCCTTCTGATTCTGCTCTTCTCAGCATATCCTGTGGCTGCTCAGGATTTCTACAGGTGGCCGGCTACACAAGGCCAACCCGCTATATGGTTTAGTCCAGATAATCTGTCTGAGGGTCCTAGATATTCAGGGTTTCCCAACCCATACTATAATGGAGACCCTGTACGTATCATATGATAGTTATAGGATCCTGATTATGGGGGTTGGTGTCACTAAACCCTATGTATTTCAAAGTAATATTTCTGAAAGGAGTGGCTGCAACAGTGGCACGCATTGCCAAGGGAACATAAGGGCTATATTTGTCCTGCAAATCATACCAGTTTCAGTGGATCCGAGCTGTACAAATTGCATCTCAAACCTAAAGGCTACACCCCAATCACGTCTACACCTTCAGCCGCAGCAGCTGCCATGGTGTAGTGTGGCGCTTGGTCGGGCGTTGTTCCTGGAGGCTTGATGGCTGCTGAGTGTGCTATTGGCGCCATCGTGCCCCAATACTTTCACATGGCGCTGATGGGTGGAAGAGCCGCGCAGGTCCCGGTCACTATGGATCGCCCGCTTAAACGTCTCGAGTTTGAGGCCCAGAGGGCGCTGCAGACTGGCATGGGGGTCCTACGTGATTCGAAAGGGTGCACCCCAGGCAGCAGGCGCAGCGGGTCTGACATCGGGAGATAGTCTGACCCTCCAAGTACGGCACACAAGCCGCAAGGTCGGGTACTCGTTTGCTGCTAGAGAGGGGGATGGATCCGTTGTCACGTGGCGCCATCAGAATTTTGGTGTTGACAGCGGCACTTGCTGCCATTCCGGACACTGGATCGGCATCACCTTCAACAGCTGTCGCCAGGCGTGGTGCTCGCTGCAGGTCCCAAAATACCAGCAAGCGTGGAATCGGTACCCGAAATTGGGTGCAGCTTCCTAAGCTGCTCCACGACACCACTGCTGCCATCACATCTGCTGTCCTCGTTCTAGTATATTCTGGATCACCACACTCCGGATTACCCCAAGTGGCCGGTAGCTGCAAACAAAGTCATGGCATCAAGGGGTATCAGTACAGGTTCCTCATCCTTGCTGAGCGTGGCGCTGGAGGAGCCCTCTCAAGATCCCCGTGCACGCCTTGAAAGTCCCCAAACCTTCCTTTTCAGAGTCACAAGGTATTGAAAACGACCCTTGCATAGTCCTTCAAAAGGACCCCTATCATCTCTGTAAATATCTACGTCAGCCCTTTGCGGCTCACCGTTTTGACAAACCTGTATTCATGGCACGTGGCAAGAGCCCCCAGACACGTCAAGCAGTATTGCTGATGGCAACATGAAGTACCACACTTTTTCCTATTAGGATCGTCGAGACAGAGCGTCATTCTTGACAAATTCTGTTTACAGGAGAGGTCCTAACTAAAGCGAAAGGGCACTACAAGCTGGGGTGCCAACAGGCTTCCTTCAAGCCGCACGAAAACTGTAGTGCCTAGAGACCGCAACCAAGAAATTGAAAGATGTGGCAGAAGCAAAGAGAGACAAAGCACCATCTCAAGTGGCATAGCTACCGTAGTTGTCGCCAAACCCTGGCCAAACAACTGGCTTGCTCCTTAAGAACAATAGCTGACTCTGCAGACCTTGCGCTGGCTCGGCCATTGTCTCACCTTCGAGCGAGTGCAGCAGCTGATCTACGAGGACCGGTTTCAGTGTGCACAGTAGCCTTATCGTCGCCTAGGTGAGGAACAGTTGAGCCTAAACTGCAAGGTGGATCCCGAGGGCAGTCAGCGCTTGGACTTCACAACGCAACTGTGCTGCAAGGTCAACCTGCAACCGGCCTCTAGCAGTTAAGACGCAGAGTGTGCATAGGGCACCAGTTGGTGGGAACGGGCCAGTGGCACCCTAGGTTTGTGAAGCTGGTTCGAAAGTGCCGGGACTTCGAGCGCCGTGCAGCTGTAGCTGCTTTCCAAGATGCTGATGTAAGGAGCGCTTCAATAGCATCATTGAGTGAGCGTGCCAACAGCTCGAGTCTAGCCATCTGAAGGACTTATCACTCATGCCGGCGTGGGGGTCGACCTTTGCTGTACACCAAGCATTGTGCGTGCTGAGATGCAACAATGCACGACTCGGGCAGGAGTCTTGGGCATCTGGACAAGCAGTCCACAGCTTCTGCGCTGGAGCAGCTGGGCTTCGATGGGTGCAAATTGCCAGAGCAGCCACGGGTCGCTTGATCTGAGTTGGCCATTTTACTGCCAATCCATCAGGCCTTGGGAGTGCAGACTGTTTAGACTACGAAGGGAGCTGCAAATCCTGCTCCCGGGTGTCCAAACACTCTTCAGCTAATCCAAGCTCTTCAACAGTAGGGGGGTTTCCCATGCAATGATAAGCAAAGAAAAAAATCACTTCGCGAACCACATCTTGAACTGTTTTCTATTCTTCTAAGGGGCTTGCTATACATGATTAGCGACCCTCTTAAGCTCTGTAAGGAGTAGCTGGAAGCAATGCTTGAGCCTTTTAATTCCAAACAGGTTTCAGAATCAGCTTTCCTTTTCTCAGTTCTTTCTCATTTTCAGAGCAGTCAAGTCAAGAATCTCCCTAAACCTTAAACATTTCAAAGTGAGCTCCTGAACATAATTGCAAGTAGATTTGAATCCATTAGAAACACGAGTAACGCAGTCAAAGCTGTTCTAAATCTGAACCAGGTTCTGCAAATCTACGGTGTTTTGGCCCAATCACGCCTCTGCCTCTTAAAGCGCTCCCCGACCATTTCTTCAAATCTAGGGGTTTTATTCATGTTGAGCTCGGATTAGGTGTGGATATGGGATAACTGGGTATCTGCTGACCGGAGACTTGCGACGTGGCAGGTGGCTGGCATGGACCTCAATGAATTTCTGTGCCTTGACAGATGATACCCTGGGTGATGTTTTGCTTTGTGAGATTTCTGCAAGCATATAGTCCCCCTTAAGTAGATAGAATATGTCTTGGGGTATATTTCAATAAGATCCGCATGTACCCCATATTCTATCTACTTAAGGGGTTATATCAGTGGAGATTGTCAGGCTTTCGGTGGCCCGCCTACAGAAGGAGAGGCTGCGTTTCGTTCGCACGTACTGCGACTTCTCGCCGGCTGAACTTGGAAGGTTGAGGTGGGTGTCCCACATCATTAAGTCAGGTGCAGAATCTCATATGCATGATCTGTCCGTTCAGGTCAGAATTCGATCGGGTTGACAAAGACAGCTCTGGTGAGCTTAAAAGGCTTCGGCCTCAGAAAGCTAGTGGTTGTTGTAAGCTACTGTCAATTACACTGGGCAAGCGCGCATTCTGAAGAGTCTAAAGATCCCGTCCAGTTGTCTAAAGTTGATACCCCGCCCAGGCATGAGCTCCCGCGACTGGTGGAGGTGCTATTTCCGGACTACGCGCACTCGCTGCAATTCCGTCCAATTCTTGTCAGTTGGCCAGCAATGGATTCCTATCTGGGATGTTGGGTTGCAATACCTTTACATAGTCGTAGGGTGGCAGACCTGTGGACACATTTGCCTCTGCTGCACGGCCGGCATTCACGACTTGGGCTCAAGCTCTGATGCAGGAGCTTCTTTTCGGTAACCCAACCGAATCCATGTGTGTGATATGAAGTCTGATGGACTTCTGAATTCGGCCCAGCGGTTTAGGCTCGTGCGGTGGCTGTATCTGGCCTGCTTCGTGCAGTTGGGGCATCCGTTTGACAGCGCATGCGCTTCCCCTGCAGATGTGAGCCTGCGGGAGGAAATTCTTGAAGGCTTCCAAGTGGAGGAGGAAAGTTTCGCTGGGACAGAGCTTCGTTTGCTGCAGCTAGGGCTCATTCTGCAACGCGTAAATCCGCAAGCGGCCAACACTGATGCAACGAACCACTCCTTGTGGACCCCTTTCCAGCAAAGGTATGTGCATGTACCGGAACAAGACCTTGCCTGGGCAGAGAGCCAAGCTGCGGAGCAGAACCCTTTGCTCGAAGTTGATGAGCTCTCAAGTACTTTGGGTGCCATGAGGAGCCCAAGAAGTTTTCCTGAGATTCCGAAGCACAGGGCAGCCTGGATCGATTTCACGGATCAGGATCCAGTGAAGGGAATGGTGATGGGTGACATACGCATAGGAGCAGCCGCGGACGAATCCGACGTTACCCACTACAACATTTTCTGGGCTTCCAACGGCACGGTCATGGACTTCATTGCTGCACTGCCTATTGGCACCTACATGCACCAGTTGCACGCTTCTGCGGATACTGCCAAGGGTGTTCGGATCCCCAAGGCCGCAAATCAAATGATAGTTCTTACTTCAAATGCAGCCGGGATGATGGACAAGGGTGTGTCTGTGCCAGTGTTTGATCATTGGCGGCCACCCTTCAAAAGATTACTAAAGGGCCTCCTCCGTGGAATCTGAGAGCTCGCAAAGGCGCAGTGGCTTCCGGCCCTAAAAAGAGTGAGGCGTTTGGTGTGTTTTTCCCACTTTGCTGAGTAGCTTGCGGGCCTTCAAGACACAGTGCCCTTTGACAGATTTTCATCTGTTGGTCAGAGAGAGTGTGCATTCAAGGTCCGGCTTCTGAAAGAGGTGAAGCTTGATGAGACGCAGGCCATCACTTACATGGACTTCTTGCAGCTGGTCCGCACGATCCGGGAGGAAACGGAGGAGCACCGGTGTGCCTTCCTCAGCAGGAACTGTCATGGGAGCGCTCAACTACTTTGTCATGCTTCTTCTTTGCTCTGCTTGGACTGACTGACTGATCGCAAGGTCTCGTTTATGCTGAGACGGTTCGCCGTCTTGAATTCAGTTTTCGTGAAGCTTCTGAATTCCTGGCCGTTTTTCTGCCGCTCGGCATGAACACAGCAGGTAACCTACCAACTAGATGATTGTCCGGCTGCAAAGTAGATGCCAACGTCATGGCCAAGCATTTCATTGGCTCTTTTGTGCAAGGTCAGCTTCGGAGGAAGCGCGGCGAAAGCTGACAAGTGATGCGCCTGCTCTTGAACTTCAGGCTAGCGCAGTCTGCAGGAAAGCTTTCATTTTTGGGATGTCAGCTTGAGCTCGGAATCTTGTTGTGATTTCGACTGCGCACGCACTTGGGGGGTGTATTTTTCTCGCCTGTGTTACTTTCTTGATGTGTTTCTTGCTTTTGCGTCTGACGTTCGGCTAGTGACTTTGTTTGTCTGTTTCTTCCTCCTGCTTGCTGCCTTCCCTTCTTGACTACCGCTCTCTAACTGTTCATTTTTCTCACGCACCTCCAATTAGTTGGCTTCCTGCTCCTTGCTTCTTCTTCCTGCTCTGTGCTTCTAGTTTCCTGTCTCTTGCTCTATTTGGGTAAGCGGCCTCCTTGTTAATTCTTGCAAGAAATACCGAGTTTGCCATCATAGGTCGTATGGGCTGTTATTCTCTTCCACTCTTATTATAAATAGTGGTGGTAGTACTGCTGCTGCTACTACTATTTCTACTGCGACTACTGCTACTGCTACTGCTGCTGCTGCTGCTACTACTACTACTACTGCTGCTAGTAAGACATGTAGCTTTGTTGTTGTGCTTGCTCTTGCTAAATTTGTTGCCATGCAAAACCGTCCTCTAATGACGAATGCCGCCATCACGATCAGCACTGTTTAACGTACGAGTATTACTGCCACAATGATTTTGTTTTTTGCGATGTATGAAGTACTGGAGGACGCCATGCTCCTTGCTCAGGACCTCATTACCCTGTTCCAGCAATGCTTTGAACTTTCCGACCTTGAGTGCCTCGGCCGAAAACTTGTGCAACTACGGATATCCAACCGAATGCCAGGTCGGTTTAGCTTCGTAGCAAATCGGCACACCCTCACCGAGGTGCCAGACATTGCAGGACTGCTTAGCTGTGGGTGAAAAGAAGTGCCCCTCAAAGAGCATGAGTTCCGACCTCAGCAATAAGACATGAGATGGCAGCAGGCATTGCATTCCCAGAGTTAAAAGCAAGTGGCTTTGCCCAGCTTTGATGGAAGGGTGCGCATGGCAGATCTTAGCATTCGATGATCGGTCGAGGTGCAATACCTGCCAAGTCGCACAGTTTGTCCGGGAACAGACCCACACAATCTCAGAGCTTTGCTGGAAAAGCAGCCGCGCGACCTCATTCAGAGTTCATAAGTTTCCCAGTCAGCTGCTTCTGTTGCAGACCCTGTGCCGCTGGTGCCTGTCAGGGATGCACGCCGCCAGAGGAGACGTGTGTGGATTTCCTCCAGTTCCTTCAAATCATGCCACTTGTCTGTGTTGCTATTGCAAGCACATGTGCAAGCAGCCTGTTGACGCAGAGGCGCCAGGTGATTGACGCTGGGCTGGGAGGAGAGCTGTTGCAACGAGGGCCTGGTGCGGAGAGCTGAACACAGAGGCAGCATCGGTCTCAACCTTGGTATCTACCGTGTAACTACAGCATTGCACGTATTGCAGGCGCAGGAAGGAATTCGTGTAATGAAATGGAGACGGGCTGCGAAGCCCTTGTCTGCATGTCTGCGCTTGAGCTGTGCCCAGAGCCTGCCTGCACACGACAGAGAGCGTTGTCGCAGTGGCCCGCAACCTTCTCCAGCCATGGCAAGCAGAAGAGCCCTTCGTCATAACCTATGAACTTTGGGAGTCTGTTTGCATGGTTCTGGGAACAAATACAAAAGGCACTACGTCATGCACCCGCATCCGGCCTTCTAGAGAAGCATTGCCATCTGGAGGTGCAGCAAGAGCATTTTCCACGTCAACCGACGTCTTAGCAAGGATGGGCAGCATTGGCAGAAGCCTGACACTGTCCCGAAAAGCGTCACTGTGGTGTGTCAATCCATTTATGCGACATGTCCAGCGAGTGCTCACGCGCCAAATGGCGCTGCACTCTTAGTTCGCCAGCGTGAATGATGGGAAAGGAAGATACCAGAAGTTTGCTAAAACCGTCCTGCGTGAAGTTCCCCGAGTGCTTTACAAATCCCCCTGCAAATCCTGAGGCCTGGGAGTCAGAATCTCAGCCTTGCCCGCGCGAGTGAGAAATCTCAGCCCCATGCTGCTTTGTTGTCCATCAGATGCGTGCAGTGACCGGCACCGCTTTGCTTCAAGCCAGCAGACATGTTCTTCCAAAGGTCTACGAGCCAGTGACTTTTCTGCTGGGAACATGGTGCGGTTGGATATTCATCTTAAATATTTGGGCAATTTAAAGCGATCTCACCCTAAATGGTGGTTGATATAGGGAATAGTACCAAAATCGCCTTAGATTGGGAACTGAAATTATTCTAAATTACCCTGATATATCCATTTTTACTGCACGAAGACTACGAGTTCTGACCATATGACTAGTCAGAATTGTGCAAGAATATTCTTAGCATAAAAAATACGAGCTCCCATTTTTGAAATTATGGCTTTTCATGATATTAAATAACATCTTTGAGAAATGAGTAACACTTGTATTAGTATTGTTGTCGCAGCGCTTCAACTTGCCAAGCCCTTGGGCCGCAAGCTTCAGGTTTCGGGTCTTAGTTGTGAAGATGGCTGGTACTTCTGCCAGAGCGTTTGGCTCTCAGATCAAAGCCATGCTTGGACTTACTTACCTCTGGGTTAGCAGGGTATGCCAGAATAGAAAACATTGAAGCTGGCACAAAAGTGGGGATTATATAGGGGCTACTATAAGGATGCATTCCTTATCTTCCTTTCATCCCCTGCTAGCCAGAGGAGTGCAAGAAGTGCTACTGTGATGTCTCCTCCACTTAATTGCCAGAGGGTTGGCTTTGAGGTTTGCGGTAGCTGGCATGTCTCGTGCTTACTGCTCACTTGGCATGAGCACGCTTTTGTCATGTTTTGCTTTCAGCAGGCAACCTGCTGAGTCTGGCGGGGAGGGCATTCCGAGAGATTCAGACCAGATGATGCTTGTTTCAGGATGCTACATGGATTCGTCGCAGCGCTGGCATGCGCTAACGCAGAGATGGTGCTACAGCCAGCGCAAGTGTCTTCAGCCATGGATGAGTAGTGCAGGGTCCATTGCCTTCTCTTCCTGAACTACGTAGGTGCTGCATCATTTGGTGCCTGGTCGTACCTCAAAGATATTTTCTGCTGCTGCCGCGGTGGGGCTCCCATGGGTCAGGGATGCAATTTGGCATAGAAACTCCAGTATCCCACCTTATAAGTTCTGTTGCCAGGCCCTGCTCGCGGCGCATCCCATGCGGGCGGAGGTTGTTGTGATCTCACATTGCTGCCTGGAAAGCTCATGGCAAACCCCTGTGGCCGCGGTACAAAGGTTTGCTGGTCATCTTGCCATGGCTACCTGCACGCCTCGATGTTTTGCATAGCTCTTGGAATGTGTGATGGGGTGGGCAAGCCGTCGTGATGCCAAAGTGTCCCATTGAGGCCTGTTGAGTCAGCGCTGGAGCCCCAGGCCTCCGCGATCAAGGGTGAGGAAGCGCGGCGGCCCGCGCAATGTGATGCAACTGCAACAGACCCGCATCTGAGGCTTTCACTTCTGGGGGCTGCGACGCAACGGACTTCTGTTTTTCAGCCGTGCTCTGAGAAGGCAGCGTGAGCATGTCACTGGCGCATTTTTGCACTCTATTGGCAGGTGGGGTCACGGGAGCTTCACGCTGGATCTGCCTTTGATCAGAAACTGATGCACTCAGGCATGGCCGCTTTCTCCAAGGCTGCCGTTGCCACATTTCCCTTCACTCTTTTTGTCCGACACCTACGATAGCGTGCAATTCAGTATCTTGGCATTGACGCCAGACAAGCTTTTTTGTGCCGGAGCTGTAGGCCTGGGAGGTCATGAAAGCCCCGGCGGCCAATTCCCCAGAAAGCATGTAGAGCGAGCTTCTTATACAAAATCTGATATCTTTGCGGTTGAGCCACCCATAAGCTTTGCGACCAGCAAGCAAAGCATACGATCGGCTCTGGTGAATTTATTCTGCCATGTCTATGCCAGAACTACAAAACCACTTTTTTTCTGAGAGCCCACTGCAAAGGTCAATACGGCTGCCAGTCGTGCGCCCAGTGGTTGCGAGGCTGTTTTAAGGCAGCCCAGGCTCACCTTAGCAAAGACCATCAGCAGGTTCTCAAAGAATGCTGAGGGGCGGCTGTCGACCTCCTGCCTTATGCACTTTCGGCCAGTGCCAGCGCAGATGACTAAGTCTTACCGGTTTTGCTGAAGTCCCAACTATGGTTGATGGAGTAAATCTTGCACCACCTGCGGTCCCTAATGTCCTAGGAATTACAGAAGTTTAGGGCCCCTAGGTGGTGCAAGATTTCATCCATCAACACTATGGTGCTGTGAGATCCTGAACCACAATACTACAATATTATGATACTACCATACTATCATACTACGATACTCTTATACTATTGTACCATGGTACCGGTATACTGCATAACATAACTATTCTTCTCGTATACTATATAACAAAACTATTATGCCATAAAACTATATATTACCACTATTATACTCTTATACTTTATACAAGAATGATTTTACCACCCTACTATGCATGGTTCTGCCCTGAGATGTACCCTAAACCCTAAATCCAAAACCCTAAACCCTAAACCCTTAACCCAAAACCCTAAACCCTTAACCCTTAACCCTTAACCCAAAACCCTTAACCCTTAACCCTTAACCCTAAACCCAAAACCCTAAACCCTTAACCCTAAACCCTAAACTCATGGCATAGGCCGCCCACCTTCGATGGTGGGCGGCGCTTATGCCCCTCGACATCGAT